TCCACAAGCCAGAACAAACTGGCTCCAGATGTGTAGACGGTGTGCACATTTCTCCTTCTAATGTTTCATGTGACCTCCTAACTGATTATTCAGAGCAGATCTCACCAGAAAATAATATTTTGTTTAGATTTTTTTTCAAAGATGGATTGCCAAATGTAAGTGTCAAACTCATCTCACATCAGCCTTGGCCATCATAAGACTGAATAGATGTAGCTTCCTGGAATCACAAGATGAATCTAATTTTCTAGCCATTTCAAGGGGCTGTCTAACTAAGGGCCTGCCATTGTAATGGCCACCTGCCACAACTTTCAACAAGAAGATACTCAAGCTTAAAAAGTGATAATATTTAAATCAAGTTGTATGCCATCTCCTTTTAGTGCTCGGCTATTTTTCTCATTATTTTCCATGTGTATACTCCTAAGAGACATGAGCTGAGGCAAAATTAAGTATAATGGTATAGTTAGCAAATGCAATTAAAAATATTTTGTAAATATTCTGGATGTTATTTTGTAGAGGTCAGTGCACTATTCTTTGTCTTTACTTATACACTTATTCTCAAAGCATAGAGCCTGGCTAATATTCACATAAATTAACATGCTGTATTAATTTTTGTACATCTTTATCTAAGATTTTTCCCTTCACCGAGATGTAAATTAACAGTATGACTTATAATTTAAAAGATATGACTTCTCTCTTGTTTGCAAACTTTGAGAAGTGTTACTTCCTAAAACATATAATAAATGATTGGATATTAATCCTACCAATGTGTATGCATGCATGCATGTGAGTATGTATGTATATATATGTGCATGTATGTCCGTGGAGTACATGTATATGTGCATAAGTTGTTGATTTTTATTTTTGTATGAAGAAAACTACTTTTCAAACCTGCCTCTATTCATCCTTGATTCAAGGTCCTTGAAAGACTCTTTAAACACTTCAATTTGAAGTGGTTTTGGCTGTTTTGCTATGTTTGAGGGTTTAGTTTTATTGTTGATGTTTGGCTTTGTTCTGGAGGAGTGTTACCTCCAAAAAATCTTCATTTTCATGGAGAAAATTCAACCATTGTTCTTATTTATTTTACCTCAAGAAAATTGCTAGAAGGATAAGTTGTGTTAGTTTTTATTGTTACAACAAAGGTGACAAGTTTATTGACTCAACCAGTACAAACATATTTTCTCACAGTTATAAAGGTTAGCTTCTACCTTTAAGGGCAAATGCTAACATGTTTAGAGCTTAAGGGCTGAGATCTTTCCTAGCTGATGGAAGGATGCAGCCATACTTACTTTTTTGTCTTCTAAATGTAGATGTGTTCCTTCTCTCATAGCTCCTCCCTCTTCTGTCTTAAACAATGAACACCTTCTGTTCTCTCTCTCTCTATTGGTCTAACAACCATGCTTCTCTCTAATCGAGATTTCCATTATTGGACTCCTCAGGATAAATTCTCAATATTAAAACAACTGGATGATAAACATAATTAAACATATAATTATAGCTTCCTTTGATATTCACTATAAAATATTTAGAGATTTCAGGTGTCAGAGTATAGGTATCCTTGGTGTTTGAGAGGTGATTGGAGTGTTAACGTCCTACCACTAACTGGTCAACAAAATATTTATCTTATGACCGTGTCTAGTAATAGACAGATGAATTCTAGTATGAAATATAGTTTAAATTCTTCGAATTCTGCTCATTTCCTTTGATTTTATTATATTTATACCTGTGTATTAGATTTAGATATTCTAATTCATGAATGAATGTTCTAGATTCACTTCTACTGTGATAAAATACCCTGACAAAAGCAACATTAAGGGAAAAAGGGCTTATTTCATTTATAATTACAGGCTAATGTCAATCACTGTAGGAAAATCAAGATTGTAACTTGAAGCTGTTGGTCAAATCCACAGTCAGAGGGAAGAGGAGAAAAAGACACAGAGAGAGTTAATGCATGAAAGTTTACACATACTCAGCTCTCTTTCTATACTTATACATGCCTAGATTTTAAGCCCAGGGAGTGGTGCCCTTATGGTGGGCTTGGTCTTCTTTCACCAATTAACACAATAAAGGCAATACCACACAGTTATGCCCATAAGGCAAACTCATGTAAACACGTCTTCAGTGAGACTTTATCGGTTACCTTAGATTGTGCAAAGTGAACAATTAAAGCTGTCAGAGTGATTCCATTTTTCTAGTTGAAGATCTACTATTCTTCATAAGCATTATTGATTATTATTATTATTACTATTATTATTGTCATTGTCATTATTATTATTGAGGCTTTCAAAAGGGTAAAATAAAATGAACAATTCCTTTAAACTCTACATGTTTGAAGAAGGACCTTTATTATAACATGGTTGATGTGATTTCTATTACTATCTGGCAAGTACTGCATGTCAAAAGGCACTATCTCATGGGAAAATGTTTGCCTCTGGAGACCTTTCTGAAGTTGATTTCACAGAAGTCAGTAAAAGTTACTTGACCTGAAATTCGTGTGTGTGTGTGTGTGTGTGTGTGTGCTTAGCTTGTGAATTGACATGACTCAATTGCCCATTTTGTACAAGATGTTTTATAAGAAATCTTTTCTTTATCCTTCATAACTAACTCTCATTGAGGCTGAAATGCCACTATAAGAAAACTTGAACAAGGTCACACAATGAACATGTGCAATAAAGATGGAATGAGATTAAAACTTGTTTCTGTTCGATATAGTCATTTAATCATAATTCACTACCACAAGAACTGAAGATAACTAAATGAACGTAAAGGCTGGGTGGAGCTCAGCTGTTAAGACAGAGCTGGCTCAGCTGTGAAGAGGGCTTACTGCTATTTTAGAAGTCCCAGCTTTGGTACCAAGCGTCTGCATCAGTAGCTCATAACCCCAGTTCCAGAGGATTCAATGTCCTTTGTCCTCTGAGGGCAATCACATATGTAGTACACATAAGCTCACAGGACACACAGTATTAAAACCACCTTAAATACAAATCTCCATTTAGCCTTTGAAAGGAGAAAATTAAGAAATAGCAATTTAGTTATGACAATTTCAGTCAGATGACATTGCATCTGTGACATTCAGGATATCTGGGAAGGGCTATAATAGAACACGATTAACTTATAAGATGAAAGTATTTACATGAAATTGGATCAGACAGCACAGTATAGAAAGTTTAAGGAAACCGAGAAAGAAATATAAAATAAAACCAAACATCACAGATGAAAATAAAATAATAAAACTTATACTGAGTATGGGTATCCAGACCTAAAAAGGTAGAATGCAACATGTATGAAGAATGTCTGAAAAATCTTATGTAACCCCGTTACACATATTGAACAGAAGTACCCCACATTTTTGAAAGTCCTGCTCCCAGAAGATTGAGTAATTAATGAAAATCACAGTGCTAGATACAGGCTATCTCTCCCAATGAGTAATTGTTCCAACATTCCCCACAGCACTACAGGAATAAGTACAGAACATTATTAATGAGAAACATGGACGGTTTCTGTGACAAACCTGACCACGTGGCTCAAGGGCATATAGAATCAATTTGTGAAGAAAATGTGAGTGAGTTTGAAGCTTCATGCCAGAGAAGCCTTTGAAGTATGGTAAGTAGAGTCTAATGGACACTTTGCTGTGGGTTTAGGAATTTGAATGGAACAAAAAAATACTTGTTTACAAAGCTTCACAGGGAAACAGAGACCCTATCTGAAATTTGACAAGAGGTCATTCCTATTACATTCTAGGGAACAATTTAGCAATATTCTCTTCACATATCAAAACCCAAGTAAGATTAAATCCAAAGATCATGCCTTAATTTATTTGGTGGTGGGAATATCAAAGGAAGATAGCATTTAGGCTGCAATACTGATATACTCAATGTATGTGCCCAGACTTACAGGGACAGTTCTGATCAAAACACAGAGCTTGAAGAATTTGGAACTGTGAAATGTGTAAGGAAAGGAATACCTGTTAACTTGAACCTGCAGATAGGCAGGTGTAGACAAACTGGGTACAGCTGTTAGACACCCATGTCATTTAGAGAAATGGGGGCTTTGCTGTTTAGGACAGGTGTGGAGAAGATAAGACGCCATTGTATGTAATAATACTCACTATAAAGGCAGTCATAAATTTGAGTGGGGAGAAGAAGACAGGAGATATTGGAGTCCAGAGAGGGATGGATTGAAGTGATATAAATATGGTACTCATAAAAGATAATCTCCAAAAAATTAATTCTAAAATTAATTAATTATAAATAAATGATATTTTAAAGGTCATGGTACATGAAAATTCATATTAATCAGAAAAGAATGTATTTTTTCAGGAGTTTCTTACACAGATAGGGTCATCTATGGATGAGTTTTCTTGTTGGGCCATGTAGTAGTTTAAATAAACTGCTCCCCATAGACTCATATATGTGAGTGCTTGGTCCATAGGGAGTGGCACTATAGGAGGTGTAGTCATGTTGGAGTAGGTGTGTCCTTGTTGGAGGAAGTATGTTGTGGCACACACTGTGGCAGTCTCCTTCCGCTGTCTGCAGATCAAGATGTAGAACTCTTAGCTCCTTCTCTAGCACCAAGACTGCCTGTACACTGCCATGCTACCCATCATAATGATAATGGACTGAATCTCTGAAACTGTGAGCAAGCCCCATATTCAGCAAGCCAATAGCCAACATTAAATTAAATGTGGAGAAAATTAAAGCAATTCCTCTAAAATCAGGAATAAGACAAGGCTGCCCATTCTGTCCATACTATTCAATACAGTACTTGAAATATTAGCTAAAGCAAGAAAACAACTAAAGGATATGAAGGGGGATACAAATTGGAAAGGAAAAAGTCCAAGTATCCTTATTTGCAGATGATATGATAGTATAAATGAGTAACCTCAAAATATCTACCAGCTGATAAACACCTTCAGTAAAGTGACTAGATATAAAACATAACTGAAAATCATCAGTCGCTCTCCTACATACAAACATTAAATGGACTGAGAAAGAAATTAAGGACTTTCCCCTAGAGCCATCTGTGTGGCTATTGTGTCACATGTACTGATCAGTATGTGACAGATAGGAGAGAGGCTATGCCTAGGCACAGTGTTCTAATCTATGAACATTGGAATGATTAGTAGCCTAACATTCTCCTGAAAAAGAGGATATAGCTCTGACACCAGGAGGCCCAGACAAGGGAGCTGGCTTGAGATGACCAAAAGTCCATTGACTTGCAGGCCCATAATGCAGGAGCCCTGGGCATAGCAGTCCTGAGACCACTCACTCCTGAGATGCTCTCAGACACTCAGAGTCCATGGACCACTAAGAGGAACAAATAAGTGGTAGAGAAATGGGGGAGGAAGAGAAAGAGAAGGATGTGGACACAATGAAGAGAAGGCAGAACTGGAGACTAGAAGGTAGTGAGGAACAGCCTGGTGTGAGTAGCTGGTGATGTCACCTGGGCCTATGGAGTTGTCCTGGCTTGTGCTGCCCTGGGAGCCAGGTTTGTGGACCTGAAGCAGCAGTGGTCTGTTTCCACAAAGGCCAGGTGGATGTCCCTGGTCTGGGTTGTTGAGCAGAGACATGTTGATGTCTGAGGGATGTGCAGAACTGGCCCCTGTCCTCACCTGGGCATCGTGGGAGAGCACACCCTGGCTGTATAACAGTAGACTCCACCCCTAGCCAGCTGCAGTACTGGGTGTAGTTGCCCCAGCTATTATAGAATTTGCAGATGTGCCACTTGAGGGTATGAGAGAACTGCCTAACCACTCATCTCCCTTAGAGTGTCCTTGATAATGGAGAGATACCATCCCTCCCCTTGTCCTTCAGTATCTGCAGCAAGTAGGATACTTGGACCTGGGGTCATGAGAGCAGGAGAGCAGTTCTTGCCCCTCACGAACTGCCGCACTCAGGAAAGCTGGCCCTGCACCTCAACTGGGCAGCACAGTAAAGCTGACCCTGATGGCAGGTGTAAAAGATGAGCTGCTCCATCAATATGAGTGTGGGAGAGCTAGCCCAAACACTTGTCTGTTATTTGGTGACATGGACAAGGGAGTGATTCCCACCCCAATCCCCAATGCCTTGCCACCTGTAGCAGGCAGGAGACCTTGCCCCAAGGCCATCAAAACAAGAAAGCTGTCTCTATTCTCCCCTGCTGCAGTGCTCAGCAGTGTGTATTTTCCCTGGGCAGCACAGTAGAACTGTTCCTGGATGTGGGAGATGCAGGTGAGATGCTTCCAGGGGGCCTGAGTACAGAAGAGCCAGGCCTGTCTCTTTCCTGCTGTACAGTGGAGCTGGTGATGGAAAAATGCCCTCGTCTCCTCCCTCATCCATTGCTATTTAAGGCAGGCAAGAGATATGGCTCCAGGGTCATGGAATGGGAGAACTGGGCATGTCCCTCATCAGTTGCAACACTCGGGAGACTGGTCCCTGCATCTTGCCTAGGCAACATGATAGAGCTGCCCCTGTTAGCAGGAAGGATTGCTGAAGAGCTGGCTCTGAGGGCATGAGAGAGGGAGAGCTGTCGGACTGTTCATCTCAGATATCTCTCAGACCCAGATCCAGGGATTTGAATTGGCCTACCCCAACATCTACACCATTGATAAACTGCTGGAGTGCGTGAAGGGGTTGGTCCTACAGATCTAAAACTACAGGATATCCAAGACATGGAAGCAACAGGATATCTATGAGGAGTTACAGTGTGGTTCCGGCATTGATAGAATAGTAGAAATCAGAAGTCCCACACCAGAGAAATAAGTCACTGTAATGAATATTTGCAAGCAAGAAAATTCATTATGAGTGAGGTAACCAAGATCCAGAAAGATAAACATGGCATGTATTAACTTATAAGTGGATACTAGCTATAAATTACAGAAAAATCAGGCAACAAACCAAAGACCCAAAGAAGCTAAGCAACAAGGAGGGCCCATGGGAAGGGTGACTCATGAATAACACTAAGAAAGTTAAACATATTTGACATCTGGTTGGAAGGGAGAGGAATGGTTGTGAGGGGATGTGGGGATGGGAACAGGAGGGATAAGGTGTCAAGAAGATGGAGGGAGAGAGAAGTGGGAGAGATAACTGGATATGGAGTGGGACACCTCTAGGATGCTAGAAACCTAGGAGAGTGGAAAACCTCAGGAATATATAAGGGTAAGTCCATAGCTAGAACTCATAGCAATATGGGATACAGAGCCTGAACCAACTTTCTTCTGTAACAAGGCCAAACTTCTAGTGGAGTGATTGTGACTCCAAAACAACCACAGTACCTTAAACCCACAGTTTCTCCTGCCTGCAAGGTTTGTAGACATAAAATATGGAGCCAAATTTGAGGAAAGGACCAACCAATGACTGGCCCAGCTTGAGACACATGGCCTGAGAGGGAGTCCAGTCCTGACACTATTAATGATACTCTGCCATACTTGCAGACAGGAACCTGATGTAATTGTCCTCAGAGATGCTTCACCCAGAAACTAATGGAAACTGATACAGAGACACACAGAAAAAGATTAAGTGGGGCTTCAGGAATCCTGTGGAAGGGGGGAGGAAGAATTGAAGGAGCGGGGGGGGGGGTCAAGGACACTGCAAGGAAACCTACAGAATCAACTAACCTGGGCCCATAGGTGCTCATAGAGATTGTCCTGCCAACTAGAGAGAAATCATCGCATGGACCTAGGCCCTCTGCACATATGTAACAGTTGTGTAGCTGGGTCTTTATGTGAGACTCTTAAAGGGAGCAGGGGCCATGTCTGACTATATTGCCTGCCTTTGCATCCCTTTTACCTAACTGGGCTGCCTTGTCTAGTTTCAGCTGAAGAATGCCCAAGGCTGGTTAGTAGCAATGGAAGGTCTTCCCTATTCTGAGGAGAAGAGGAAGATGGATAGATGAGATGGAGGTGAGAGGGAGGGATTTGGAGGAGAGAAGTAAGGAGAAGCTCTGATAGGGTTGTGAAGCAAATAAATAACAATAAAAAAACTAAAAAAATGTTCTGTATTTAGAACAGCTGAAATACAGTCTAAGATAAATGCAGAATATAGTTGACATTTATTTTAGCAAACTTATTTGGGGGTGATAAAAGGCTTCTAGCTTTAGTTTTGTTACTATTAATTTACACTGAACAGAAACATTATTCCTGCATAAAGACTATATAATTAAATAAGGAAGGGACAACTTATATGTAAGTTTTTAACTTGAAAATTCTTAATTATTTTCAGTTTATCAAGTTTTCAAAAGTTATTCTGGTGCTAACACACTGATTATTGAGTTGGCAGATAACTTTGTAGTCATAGATTCAACTTTTTCTACATTCAGAACATTTAGAAATTTTTCCAAGCATACACAAGTGTGCTGCAATGCCATATTTCCTTCCAAGTATTTAAACGTATGGCATTTGATTGTGTTGACTTCATTTCAAATGACTGTGATTAGAGGAAGGATACCTTGCAATCAGAGTCTTTTGAGAGGGACCTCTATGAGCTTGGCCTTAACAAATATCCTTAGTATTTTCTGCTAATCTATCTCAATGGATCCAAGTGAGAGGGAGGGACTGAGAGAAGAGGATGGAGGGAAAGCTGCAATCAGGATAAATATAAATAAATAATTAAATCAGTAAAAATAATATCATGTCATGATGTCTCTTCACAGCAATAGGACATTAATTAAGACACCTTGCTAGCTTCTTGTTCATCTCTTTTTGGAGTAAGAATATTAATTCTGTGCATTGTGCATTTATCTACCATATATCTACCATCTGTCTGTCTGTGTATCTATTCTCTTTCTCTCTGTCTTTCTCTCTCTCTCTCTCTGTCTCTGTCTCTCTCTCTCTCTCTCTCTCTCTGTGAGTGTGCGTGTATATTTATGTTGAAATTACAGTAGTCTACAGCTATTTTTGTATTGAATTTCAGAAGAGACATTTTGTTTTTGTACAATATTGGACTGTTAAGATTTTGGGGATTTTTGGTGCTGTATTGAATGCATTTTACATGATCCTGTTGGAACTAGGAGAATGTTACAGTTTAGAAGTGGAACATAGAAACTTGTGTTGAAACATCTGTGCTTTTGTGGTGATGCTTTCAAAGACAGTAGAATCTTTAGGACTTGGACTTAGGTGGCAAATACAGAGTCACAAGAGCCCTGGAAGATTAAAAGATGGCCCATTTCTGGTCAAATTCTGTGCTTCCTAGTATGCCATATAACTAGTAGATATCATTCAAACCAGTTACTAGAGACCAAGCCCTTTGCTATTCCTTCTTTGTCATGATAGACCCTAACTCCATAAGCCCTAAGACAAAATGAAGTATTTTATAACTATAGTTGTTTCTGTATGGTATCTGGTTACACTAACAAATAATAGATGACATAAATGTTTTGGTCAGTGTTCTATTGCTGTGAAAAGATAACATGACTGTTGCAAAGCTTATAAGAAAAAACATTTAAGTGGGGCTTGCTTACAGTTTGAGTTTAGTCCGTTATCATTGTGGCAGGGATCATAACACACAGGCAGGTATGGTGTTAGAGAAGTAGCTGAGAAAGCTACATCCACATCAGCAGGCAACAGCAAGAGAGAATAACTGGGCCTGCCTTGTGCTTTCAAACCTCAAAGCTGACTACACACTTCTTCCAACAAGGCCACACCTCCTAATCCTTCTGAAGTAGCGCCTTTCCTGGATGTCGCAAATATACAAGACAATATAAATACTAGAAAAACTAGAAATGGGTTGAAGCAGAAAGATCAAGCCTTCATTGTACTACTTAGAGGTCATATCTCTGGCCATTTAATCAGACTAGGGTACACACTCCCAAATGAAAAATAATAGCTCAAATAGTTTTGAAAGAATAAAGTACTGAATTACACAGTCTTATTCCCCAGAGGATTTAAATAGTTAAATTCAGTGGGCTTGCTTGAAGACAAAGGACAGAGTATCAGGAAAAGAGAAAAATGATAGAAAGGCTGCATTTAAGGGAATTTAGAGACTGGGATATAGAGGCATTGGAGAGGAATTAACATTCAACCAGTGTTCTCCTTTGTGTGAATCTGTTTCCATTAGCCCATGGGGACTTTTGATAATGGTGAGATAGGCAGGGAGGAAAGGTTCTTCTGATCAGCCCTCAGTTCTCAGAGTCTCATTGTTTAACCCCCTGTTCCAGCCT